TGCCTCTGACTGAAGTATACCAATCTGACCACAGATAAATAATAATACTTGGAATCAGGGGTCATTTTGTAGAAAAAGAGGCGCAGGAGCTCATTAGCATAACTCATTAGCATAACTTATTTGCATATGCCACAGCCCCTGACATCACCAGAAGTGTGTCAGAAGGCAACACCCACCACTGCTCAGGCTCCACTGGACTGTTTTGGATTGATAGCTATTTAAGGGGGGGGGGGACGCGCAGATCTGTCCTTACAGAGGAGGGAGAGCTTGTACCTGAATAAAACGTGGTCTTAAAGGCGCCATGGGACTGTTTTGGACGGGGGGGCTGGGGTAGGGCTCTGCAGCTCATCTGGCTGCTTCTTGCTTTGACTGAGGGCTGCTGGGAGCAGGGGGTGGGGCTTGTTGCATGTGCCTGCCCCCTGGGCTCTTTACTGCCGGAACGCCACTCCTGTGCGCTCCCGCAGGAAATGACCCCTGCTTGGAATGTATTACTTAGCACTTCTGAATGTTCAAACCCTTTTACATACAACATCTTCACATGAAGCATCTAGGTGCATGTACATCACCTGGTCAGGTAGGTTAGTATTATTATGGCCACATTGCAGAGAAGAGGGAAGAAAGGGTGGATTGCCTAAAGTTATCTACTAAACTCATAGTGGAGGCGGATTACAGGATTATATCTATCTGTCCATCCATCCATCCATCCATCCATCTATCATCTATCTATCTATCATCTATCCATCCATCCATCCATCCATCCATCCATCCATCCATCCATCCATCCATCCATCCATCCATCCATCCATCCATCCATCCATCCATCCATCCATCCATCCATCCATCCATCCATCCATCCATCCATCCATCCATCCATCCATCCATCCATCCATCCATCCATCCATCCATCCATCCATCCATCCATCCATCCATCCATCCATCCATCCATCCATCCATCCATCCATCCATCCATCCATCCATCCATCCATCCATCCATCCATCCATCCATCCATCCATCCATCCATCCATCCATCCATCCATCCATCCATCCATCCATCCATCCATCCATCCATCCATCCATCCATCCATCCATCCATCCATCCATCCATCCATCCATCCATCCATCCATCCATCCATCCATCCATCCATCCATCCATCCATCCATCCATCCATCCATCCATCCATCCATCCATCCATCCATCCATCCATCCATCCATCCATCCATCCATCCATCCATCCATCCATCCATCCATCCATCCATCCATCCATCCATCCATCCATCCATCCATCCATCCATCCATCCATCCATCCATCCATCCATCCATCCATCCATCCATCCATCCATCCATCCATCCATCCATCCATCCATCCATCCATCCATCCATCCATCCATCCATCCATCCATCCATCCATCCATCCATCCATCCATCCATCCATCCATCCATCCATCCATCCATCCATCCATCCATCCATCCATCCATCCATCCATCCATCCATCCATCCATCCATCCATCCATCCATCCATCCATCCATCCATCCATCCATCCATCCATCCATCCATCCATCCATCCATCCATCCATCCATCCATCCATCCATCCATCCATCCATCCATCCATCCATCCATCCATCCATCCATCCATCCATCCATCCATCCATCCATCCATCCATCCATCCATCCATCCATCCATCCATCCATCCATCCATCCATCCATCCATCCATCCATCCATCCATCCATCCATCCATCCATCCATCTATCCATCCATCCATCCATCTATCTATCTATCTATCTATCTATCCATCCATCATCTATCTATCTATCTATCTATCTATCTATCTATCTATCTATCTATCTATCCATCCTCTATCCATCTATCCATCTATCCATCTATGCATCCATCCACCCACCCATCTATCTATCTATCTACATATACACACACATACATATATTAAAACAACAAGATTTGTTAAAACAGAAAGTTTAAAATCAGCCCACAGCATATAATCATTAACACTAATAAACAGAGTTGTTAATAGGCCATGGCAGCGTCCAGAAGGCCACCACCATCATAATCCAGGTTCCTGCCAGGCTGTTGGTTATTAACTTGGTGCTGATGTTACTGATATTGGAGCCAGGGCTGCAGTAATCGAAAGCCTGGTGGAAGAGCTCCATTTTACAGGCCCTGTGGAACTGTACAAGGTCCTGCAGGGCCCTGATGTCATCATTCCACCAGTTAGGGGCTGCCACAGAAAAGGCCCCGGCCCTCGTCACAGCTAGCCTGGCTTCTTTAGGGCTTGGGAGGGCTAGATGGTTTTGGGACCCCCAATCTTAGTGCTCTCTGGGGAACATGTGGGGAAAGGCGGCCCCTTAGGTAAGTAGGTCTCTGACCATATAGGGCTTTGAAGGTAAGAAGAAGAAGAAGGGATTGGATTTATACCCCATTCTTCACTACCCGAAGGTGTCTCAGAGCGGCTTACAAACTCCTTTCCCTTCCCCTCCCCACAACAGACACCCTGTGAGGTAGGTGGGGCTGAGAGAGCTTCGACATAAATGGCTCTTGAGAGAACAGCTGTGCCACAGCTATGGCTTGCCCAAGGTCATCCAGCAGGTGCATGTGGAGGAGTGGGGAATCAAACCCGGTTCTCCCAGATTAGAGTCTGCACACTTCACCACGACACCAAACTGGTATGTAGCCGATATGTGTGTAATCTAACAAATATACACAACACATGGACTTTCAGAACTGGATTGTATAGCAACCATTACAAAAAGGAATTAAGACAAAGGTTCAAATGAGACAAACGTGCTGCAGGGTTCATGTTCAAAGCTCCCAAGCATCTTTCTTTTCACAGCAGCCATGTAGGAACACAGAAAAAGGGCTTTTTTAAAAAAACTATCCCCTCCTTACAGACAGTCCAGGGCTATTTTTGGGCAGGAACGGAGTTCCGGCTGGCTCCCAAGTTGGCCACACCCAGCAAGAACTCATTAGCATAATAGGCCACACCCAACAGCAGGAACTCATTAGGATTGGCTACATTAGGGGTGTGTGGCCTAACATGCAAAGGGGTTCCCGCTACAAAAAAAAGCCCTGGGTTTTGACAACAAACAGGGTAAACAGAATAAGAAGCAAAAGGTGGGTGTGGCTGGATGACCACACTTCTGGTAACATGGGGGTTTGGCCTAATATGCTAATGAGCTGTGTTGTCAGGGGTGTGGCCTAATAGGCTTATGAGTTTCTGCTGTTGGGTGTGGTCTGTTATGCTAATGAGTTCCTGCTGGGCTTTTTCTACAAAAAGAGCCCTGACAGACACAATTTTCTTGACATGAAATGAGTATTTACCCTGTTGGGACAGGCTACATACTGCTTGCCTTATGATTGTCCCAGTGGGACAAATAATAATTCCGTGGTTCACGTTCAGCTTAGGAAATTAGTACCAAGAGTAAGGTTAAACCTTCCCCCATGTGCATATAAGCATCACTGTTCCGGTGCTAATCAGTGCTATTTACAAAGGGGGGAAAAACCTCCACGGACCTCCACCAAGAACAAAGCCTGTTTTGGAACTCTACGATGATGCCGTGTGAACTGTCCGACAGGAAAGTGTGACACAAAGTGCATGTGTGATAGGAACATAGGCTATGGTGACGTCCTTGCAGAAAAAAGAGTGCGGCTACCCTGTTTGCTGAGGGAAAAGCCTGTCACGACTGAGAGGTCAAATGAGTTCATATTGCTCCACAATGCCCTTTTTTACCTTTTTTTTTTTGTCTCAGCTGATAGTGGCCCTGGGCAGAAATTGGCAGACCATAACTTGGCAGCAGATCATGCCACAAGCTAGAGATTTTGCCTGACCTTATGTATAAGTAAACAGAAACATGCGTTTAAGAGGTAACGTTAGAAATGTTACCGTACAATGCATTCTCCTTGAGGTCTTTCCCACAGAGTTTGTATTTTGCGGCAATGTAGTTGAGGATCGCTCGGCACTGCACCATTTTCATGCCATCGATTTCCACCATGGGCACTTGCTGGAACAGCAGGGATCCATCTTGAGAACAGAAGATGGGGAATTAATTCAATGGCCTGATACGCTGACAGGATTTCAGGAGCACATCTCTTGTCTGGAATTTAAGTCTCACTCCTGCATTGTGTTTCTTTTTTTTTTTAAATCATCTTTATTAATTTTAAATTAAAGCACAATACAGCATAATACAGTGCATCTGTCTACAAGAATGTCATTTAAATGGAAGGGGTCTAAACCTACAAGGTTAACCACTTCAGATAGAGGGTTAGGGGGGAGAATATCTAGAATCTGTAAATAGGAGACTACGGGGAACCAAATTGACACAAATGTGGAGTGGTGTGGGGTATCTAATTGTGCACACCTGAGCGAATCAGCAATTTTTGTCATGACCAGGTGTTCCCATAGCTTGTCTTGCCAGTCCGTCACTGATGGTGCTGCTGGAGACTTCCAGTTTGCAGCAATGGCCAGTTGGGCTATTGCTAACAGAGTCGATGTGAGTTCATTGTCATAACCTTGAATAGAGTCATCCCAGTGGTTTAACAGAAAGGATTTAGGTGAGAGAGAGAGATTTCAAGTTGTGATAGTCTCAATTTGATGTTTCACATCTATCCAAAACTGTTGGATCTTGGGGCAGGACCACCAGCAATGCAGGTAAGTCCCCTCTTGTCCGCACCCTTTCCAGCACATAGGGCTGTTGGATCTGCTAAATTTGTGTGTTTGCTGTGGGGTTAGATACCATCTCGAAATGGTCTTGAAGAACTGTAATTTTATATTGTATGTCTTAGAGCTGTTTGCTGGCTGCATTGTGTTTCTTGATGGGATGGTTCAATAAAAGGTGATACCAAGGAACTAACAGCAATACTATCAGCATCGGCAAGACTAACGATAGCCGCAGCTTGGAAATCTACCTCACCACCTACGATGAGGGCATGGCAAGAAAAGATATGGGACCAATTTATAATGGCCAAAATAACAGACTCCGTTCATAGAACACACAACCCCTCGGCACCAACCAACTCTAAATTTGTATGCATATGGGATTGGATTTATACCCCTCCATATGTATGCATATGGGCACTGGTACTAGAATACGTGACAATATGGGACTTACTCCCACTAAAACATACATATCATAGTTGGTTATACCTCTAATACATAATAAACACAGAAGACTGCAAAACAAACACGGCAAACTTACAGGAACAATCACTAACACATGCTAAATATATAACAAAACGCCCTGCAAATCACAAAGAGATAAAATTACATATATACTAAATAAATATTAAATACGTAGAGGGGATGTCAGTATGGTATGTACTCTTAATGATAGACATTATTAGTAATAAGTTTTATGTACCTTAACCAGTATCAGTTAACTCAAGAAGTGCACTTTAATGCTCAAAATGCTTTATACATATTAGACAAAATACTTTGTAACGTACGTAATAACTCAATAAAGTTATTTAAAAAAAGGTTTCTTTCCAAAGTGAAAAACAAGCGGTTAAATAAATAAACTAATTTAAATTAAGGCTGGTTGGCCTACTGCCTAAGATGGATATTCCGCCAAAATTCAGCACTAACTCTTTCCTTGATAAGAACGTCCAGGGGTCATTTAGTAGAAAAAGAGGTGCAGGAGCTCATTAGCATAACTTATTTGCATATGCCACACCCCATGACAATAGGAGCTGCGGTGGCACAAGTGGTTAAGACGCTGAACTGCAGGCTGTGGAAGGTCAGCAGTTCAGCGGTTCAAGACCCGGGTGCCGCAAGACAGGGTGAGCTCCTGTCTCTAGTTCCAGCTCCTGCCAACCTAGCAGTTCGAAAGCAAGAAATTGCAAGTAGATAAATAGGAACCACATCAGTGGGAAGGTAACAGCGTTCCGTGCGCCTTGGTGTTCAGTCATGCCGGCCACATGACCACGGAAACGTCTTTGGACAGCGCTGGCTCTTCGGCTTTGAAACGGAGATGAGCACCGCAACCCTAGAGTCGGATTTGACTGGCTTTCGAGCAAGGGAACCTTTACCTTTAACTTTACCACCCCATGACATCACCGGAAGTGTGTCAGAAGGCAACACCCGCCACTCAGGCTCCAACCCAAAAATCTCCAGGTATTTCCCAGCTTTACAGTTTTTGACTAAAGCCACAAGTGGAAACTGCACATAGATAGAAAAGTGGAAGGTAGAAGGAGAACGGAGGAATAGCAACCATAGGAGAAGCAAAGAGAGTCTTAAACCACATCCCCTTTAGTTTGGGCTTTCATACCTAAGCCCCATCCTTTTAAGCTTCACTGCAAATCAATTAGGCTATTTTTAAAAAGAAAGGAAAACAGAGCTCTGCAGGATTCTCTGTTCACAAGCTTTCCTAGTATGAGCCAACTTCGGTTCACCCAGCACTCCTTACACTCTTGCTCCCTCAGGGTAGAGCACTATGAGATGGAACAATGTGGGCTTTGGGGGCTCTTGATCCTGCCTAATGGAACAGGCTTCTGGAGACTGCATGTCAACTTCAAGAGCAACAAATATCATTCCAGCATAATTTTTCGGGAGTTGGTGCTCACTTCATAAGTTGCATTGGAGTGTATATCCCAAGCAGCCTAACACACAAGGGTCATTTCGTAGAAAAAGAGGTGCAGGAGCTCATTAGCATAACTCATTAGGATAACTTATTTGCCCTTGTCTCTTGCAGTCTTACCCCTTTCTTTTTTTCCTTTGCCTTTCTTTTTTTTTTAACATGCTTCAGGTGGAAAGTGAATGACTTCACCCCACTGAAGAGAAAGAACCTTCAGGTAAGGTCCAATGTTTCATTCTACTTCAGTTTGGAGTGGTGGAGTCATCCAAAACTGGTTAGCTCTACCCAAGCTGTGTTTCCCCCAGGCTTCATGGTTCCACCACTTACCGAAGGCTGCATCATCTGACGACACTACAATTGCTTGACAGACTGAGACACGATAAAACTTTCTAAAGCATCTAGACACGGGATAAACTTTTCTCTGCAGAACTTCTGCTTACACCACGAAGAAATCTTGAAAGTGGATAAGTTATGTTGGGGCGGGGGGGACAGACAGTTGGCAACCCTAAGATTTCCATTCAAGGTATTTAGTATCAGAGTAATGTTAGAACACCCGCGGGCCTGAGATTCCGCTAGACGCTACCCCTATTGTTGGATGGGATTTGGATTACTCTTGGGTTAACTGCAACTGCTGTTGTTTTAATTGGTATGGTATTTATTAATTGTTTTAACTTGGTTGTTTATGCCATTTTAATGTTGTTAGCCGCCTTGAGCCAGATACCTGGAAAGGCGGGATATAAATATAATAAATAAATAAATAAATAAGAGCATTTGATATTCAGGAATCAGTGCTTCATATACAAATCTCCCCTGCCCCTTGAAACAGGAAGATTTGCTAAGATGGCAGAATTCTAGCTCTCTTTTTCCTCTTATCAACAGATCACATTTTTAACCTCATAAAGGCTCCAACTGATGCCCTAGAAAGACTACTTTTTATTCAACAGTTTGCCTGGTTTATGACTACCTTGCCAAACTTTCCTGGGAAAAGGAAAGTGTGGTGTATCAAGTCCTGACAAGTCCAGACAAGTCCAGACATGTCCAGACACAAACGTCGAGCTTGGCTCCAAGAGACAATGGACTATGCAGATCTTAGCCCGCTCCAATCAGGGGGCTAGGTTCCTGGCCGAGAGCTAATGGGACTCTCGGCCGCTGTAAATAACCTATTGGGAAGTGGGGGTGTGTGTTTCGGGTGGCGGTTTCTCGGGGATATAAGCCGGCCTGCGAGCCGGCCAAAGTTGTCTTGTTCCTGGTCGAATAAAGTATGCTTTGCTGAAATCACTCTCCGTCTGTGTACTTTTCAGAAAGGAAGGCCATAATACACACACGCGCGCGCGCCTAAGAGCCAGAGCGAACAAAGGCCAAAAGAAACATCATCACATCACCATAATGAATTGCTCGCAGCTGACAGACAGAAGAATCTTGCAGAAACAAACAGGGTGACAAGCAATGTTCCCTCTAAGCTGAGTTAGTGTGAGCCAGCTCACAGTTTTTTAGCCTCTGTCTGGTTCCAGAGCAAACTAGTTCATGCAGCAGCCAAGTCACTTGTTCACAACTTTAATGCCAGTAGCTCACAAAGTGGAATTTGCAGCTTAGAGGGAGCATTGGTGACACCTCATCAAGCCCTAACAAAGACCGGTGGAAGGAGCAGAAGGGGGGAAAAGAATTCCAACCACACGAAAAAGTTAAAATGCCGTTTGAAAAGACGAGCAAGCAACTCTCTCTGGAGTGAAGGTCGCCTTGCCTTCCCCTCCCAAGATCCTCCAATGCCAGCTGCAGACTACGAGAGGCCGGACTCTCTCCCTGCCTGCCAGGCTGCGAAGGAGAAGGAGGCGGCGGTGACCAAGAGAGGAGAAACAGAAACCTGATCTCAGCCATGACTTAGTAAACAGGAGGCAGGGAAGCTGTGCCAATCAGAGACACCGCAACCCAATCCTGCCAGCGAGCCAACTCCGTGCCCTTTCATGCGGCCTTGCTAAATGGGAGAACACGGCTGGGCTTTATGGAGGGGAGGGAGGGAGGCGCCCCCTCGGGGGTCAACATCCCCCAGCTTTCCAAACAAGCCCGTGACAGAAGCAGGCAGGGCTCCGAGGGGAGTCTGGGGCACACACCCTCTTGTTCTGGGCTTCCCTTCTTGTCCTGTCCCTGAGGAAGAAAACGCACGACTGGGTGGGCAGAAGCCAAGGCGGTGAGGCAGAGGTAGTCGTCCCTGGGAAGCACCAAGACACCCTGGCCACCTCTGAAGAGCCCGAAAGAAGGGGTGGCCATACCCCGGCAGACCCATCTGAGGCCGAGCAAGAAAGGCCCGGTGGGGAGGGAGCAGGACCTGGGGGGCGGCAGGCTCCAGCCTTCTCACACACACGTGCATGCCTCCCCGACAGCGCTGGCCGGAGCAGACCATCGAGGGCTGCTGGGCTGGGCTGTGGAGGAGAAGGAGGGCACCCAGGGTTTTTCCACCCCCCCACCCAGTCAAGCCCCCACTGCACCCCCACCAGCCAGGCCGTCCGCACCAGAAATGGCAGTGGCGGTGTGGGGGAAATGGCAGCGGCAGGGCCGGCTCCTTACTGCTGGAGCGGTGCTCCGCCCTGCTCCAGCAGCAAATGACCCCTGAGAACGTCTATATAAAAATCTGTTGAAGGCCCCAAATAACTCAACAGATGATTAGGATGTAATTAGGATGCAATAAGACCGTTAACTATTGTTACTGTCCTGAAACTGCAGAAGTTACAATCAACATTTATAGAGGATTCAGAGCATGATGCCGTTCCTAAGGTACTAATTTGCTCCAATAATGGGCAAAAAAACCCTTTCATCTCCTTCCAAACATACAATTTGGTGGCAGGGGACCGCATGGCAACACTGCATTTAAAGTTATTCTTGCCTATAGCAATGCCAGTAAAGGACTACTTTGAGGACAGTTGACCTTAACTTTTCAAAATGGCCCACCTGCTGTATGTTAGCTTTGTCATTATATAGAAATAACTCTTCGGCATCAAGGAAGCCTGTAATGGGCCGTCTGGCCAGGCTATGGCAGTGCTGCGCCACAACTTGAAGCAGTCCGGAGAAAGCTGACGACATCAAGCCACGCTGACGGAAAAATGCCGTTGGAACACGTCTAACCTTACAGCTGAACAAACTCCCCGTCGGCTGCGAACGTGTGTGATTTAAAGATTATAGGTTGTCCTCCCTTACCCCTTGAATCATTCTTAGTCCCGTGTGTATTTGAGTAACTGTAAATCGCTCAGAGCCAGCAAGCTCTGCAGGATTGAGCGATTAATAAATGGAAAGATTATTATTATCATTATATTTGACAGGGGAGCTTTGGTGTAATTGTGATGTCTAAGTATCATAATGTAAGGTTGTGGTAACATGTGCAGGGAAAAAATGGGGGGTGGGTGAGGCTATTTCCTTTGGAGGAATTTGACCCGCAGTTGTGCGATCACACAGTCTTTGGAAGCTGCGGGCATAGCCTGCCATTGCATGATCAGATGCAACAGCGAGTGAGTCGGGGGAAAGACAGGGGAAAGTCCATCTGTGGCCCACCGCAACCTGTTTTCTACCAGATTTCCCACGGTGTCTTTTAACTCCGCTTCTGTGGCGGAGCAGAAGAGGTTGCCAACAGCTGCGGGGTGCTTCCCAGATGTTATTGTCTGATCTCACCCTTTAAATCCACCCGGCAGTCGCGCCTATGGTGGGTCTAATTGTGCGTAAGATTTAATCAATCCTGAATACTGTATTAGTATACACAGAGACATACATATTAAACATTCATCTATTTTACTCACCTTTCCTTAACTTTTCTAGGGCCCCTGCCACACGGGCAGGAAACTGCAGAGGAGAAGTGTGGCTGTTTGCCCCGGGGCAAACTAACATGCAGTAAAGCGATCAGACCTACTGTGGAGGTTCTGTGGAGGTACTGTGGAGGTTCCATGGCAAGGGAGAGGTGCCGATCACAACACACGCCTGCGCGCAATGAAGAAGCGCGCGGCGCGGCGAACTGGTTTTCTTTTTTTGTGTACACTACGAATGCGCATGCTCCGTTGGGTGCGTGTGCGCATCCATGGAGACGTGGGGGAAAAAAAACCCTTTTCCGCAAGGGGACATGGGCGGGCGCCGGATGCCACCGGAAACGCGATCAGACGCCCGCCCTTGCCCCGCAGTTTCTGGAAACTAGTACCTCCAAGGTACTAGTTTTTTGCTGCGCTTTTTCGGCAGGAAGCCTCAGTTGTGCCACGGAAGCGCTACGCTTCCCAGATGTGCTGGTGAGATCGCGACCGGAAACTCCGCTTGTCTTCCGTATCTCTTGCGTGGCTAATGTTGCGTGTGACCGCAGCCCCAGTCTTCTTTTTCTTTAATGAATTCTTCTTCATACTGGAAAAATAAAAGAGCCAAAAGATGCTAGGAATCTCGTGAATGTAAGAGAATTCCAATTTTGGTACTGCCGAAGCCTCTGAGTAAACTTGTAGCAGTTTCCTGATTTATTTCCTCTTTTGTGATCACTTTTGGAAATCTCGAGAGGCGGCCATCAGGGATGATGTTGGGGACAAGCCACTGATTATCTTCCAGCAGGAAGACACATCTGCTGGGAAAAAAATCTGCTAGCGGGGAATTTTTGGCCAGTCTCTTCTGGAACCTTCCCTCTTTATTAGATTCAATCCAATTTGCAACATCTTGACAGGTATGCACAGTAAGTGGAATGAAGATGTTCCTTGGGAACTGTGTTGCTTCAGAAAAGGAAGAAGAAGAAGAGATTGGATTTATACCCCGCCCTTCACTACCCAAAGGTGTCTCAGAGCGGCTCACAAACTCCTTTCCCTTCCCCTCCCCACAACAGACACCCTGTGAGGCGGGTGGGGCTGAGAGAGCTCTTGACAGAAATGGCTCTTTTTCAAGCACAGCTCTTATTAGAACTATGGCTTGCCCAAGGTCATCCAGCCGGGTGCAAGTGGAGGAGTGGGGAATCAAACCCGGTTCTCCCAAGTTTAGAGTCCGTGCACTTAACCACTACACCAAACTGGCTCCAATACCTTGTGGCTAATAGCCACTGGTGGACCTCTGTTCCATATGCTTATCTAATTCCCTCTTGAAGCCGTCCATGCTTGTAGCCGCCGCCACTTCCTGTGGCAGTGAATTCCATGTGTTAATCACTCTTTGGGTGAAGAAGTACTTCCTTTTATCCGTTCTAACCCGACCGCTCTGCAGCTTCATGGAGTGTCCACGGGTTCTTGTATTGTGAGAAAGGGAGAAAAGTACCTCTTTCTCTACCTGCTCTTTCCCATGCATAATCTTATAAACCTCGATCATGCCTCCCCTCAGCCGTCATTTCTCCAAGCTAAAGAGCCCTAGCGCCTCAACCTTTCCTCATAGGGAAAGTTCTCCAACCCTTTGATCATTCTAGTTGCCCTTTTCTGCACTTTTTTTCAAAGCTACAATATCCTTTTTAAGTTGTGGCGACCAGAATTGTACACAGTACTCCAAATGAGGTCGCACCACCGATTTATACGGGGGCATTATGATACTGGCTGATCTGTTTTCAATACCCTTCCTAATAATCCCCAGCATAGCATTGGCCTTTTCTGTCTCAACATTTGTATCCTTTCCTTTCTCTGGGGAGTTCAGAGCAGCATATGAAGCCTCCTCCCCAATTTCATCCCGCAATGATTTTGTGAGACAGGTTAGGCTGAAATAGAATGACTGTCCTTTGGTTACTCGTCATGGTCATGGCAACGTGGGGATTGTAGTTCCAGCATCCCCAGCCCTAAACTTACACTGTCACCTTCAATCTGCTCTCATTTCAGCCACTCCCTGCCAGGTAGGCTCCTGAATAAATGCAGTTGTCGTCAACAGTTCTCCAAGCGGTAGAAATAACAAAAAGCAACAGCCGTTTTTCCAAGCGATGAAAACCAACCTCAACCCCAGCTGCTGCCAATAACCACCGAATGCTCTCCATGCGGCCTCTTCCACTGAAGTAATGGAGTCTGGGTTTACTGGCCATGGCTGCACACTCCTGGGTTCCTGTTCAGGTCAGAAGAGCTCATTTGTAAAAAGGCAAAATAGGTGAAGAACCTCACTGCAAGCAACGCTGTGCAACCTTTCTGGCATGTTTCTCTTCTTTGGTGGCGGTAAGCAAGAGATTATTGTCTGTGTGCATTTTTTTTTAAAAAACATAGCTTTTCAGAGCTCCAACTTGCTTGACCCTTTCCTTGCCTTGGGCTCTGTAGTTAAAAGGGGGGAAACGTACAGCTGTGTAAGCATGTGTAGGGGTCATTTCATGGGAAAAAAGAGGTGCAGGAGCTCATTAGCATAACTCATTAGCACAACTCATTTGCATATGCCACACACCCCTGACATCACCGGAAGTGTATCAGAAGGCAACACTCAGGCTCCACTGGACTGTTTTGGATTGCTAGCTATTGGGGGGGGGGACATACAGATCTGTCCTCACTGAGGAGGGAGAGCTGGTACCTGAATAAAACTTGGTCTTAAAGGTGCCACTGGACTGTTTTGGTTTGCTTGCTATCTGGGGGGGGGGGGACGTGCAGATCTGCCCTCACAGAGGAGGGAGAGCTGGTACCTGAACAAACCTTGGTCTTAAAGGTGCCACTGGACTCTTTTGGATGGCCAGCAAGCGCAGGAAAGTGTGTGGCTGCTCATGGGTCGAGGAGGGTGGCGCGGAGGACGTGCATGGCCTCGAGCAGGTAGGGGGCAGTGTTCCCTCTAAGTTGAGTTCATATGAGCTAGCTCACAGTTTTTTAGTATCCAGCTCACACATTTTTGTCTTGGCTCAGGAAGGATGGCTCCAGAGCAAACGAATTTATGCAGTAGCTCAATCACTTGCTCATGACTTCAATGCCAGTAGCTCACAAAGTAGCATTTTTGCTCACAAGACTCCACAGCTTAGAGGGAACATTGGTAGGGGGCCAGGGCGGTGGCGGGGCAGAGGCGCAGGAGGAGGCCGAGTAGGCGCAGGACGCCTGGGCAGAGCTCCTCGCAGGCCTCGCAGGAGTTGCCGGGGCCCGCCTTACAGAAGTGCTGTGCCTTGGCCGGCATGAAGACGGGCAGAGCGTGGGCAGGCTGAGTGCCCCAACCCAGGCAGTGGCGGAGCAGCTCAAGGGCCAGCCTGCGGCAGGGCTCTGCTGGGTTGGCCAGCAGGCTGGGAAAGGTGAGGGGGGACTGCTGGGAGGAGGGGGCGGGGCTTGTTGCAGGTGCCCGTCCCCTGGGCTCCTTACTGCTGGAGCTTTGCTCCTGTGCGCTCCTGCAGGAAATGAGCCCTGGACTGCCTGTTCAAGCATAACTTTGCCCATCAAATATTCAGGAGGGAAGGGAGAGGGGGGAAATATTCTGTCTGGATCTCAGCCGGGGTCCTAGGGCTCGGTCCCTACCACTTGTCCTCTCTCAAGGATGAGGCCAGCAGCTATGGACGGCTGAATATGTTTTCTAACCCGGAGTACTAACCTCTGGAATTCCTGGATACGTAGAAGTTCTCCTGTGGCAAAAAGCTGAGTGGGAATGCCTCTGACTTATATAGCTCTAGAGCTCCACCTTATAAAATGAGGGCAGCCAGTCGGGAAGATAAAACTCTCCAGTGCAAACAGGAGGGGGGCGCACGCGCTGGAGTCTACTCTGACTTTACATGACTTTTCACTTACAGTATAGCCATCAAAATGATTAATCCATAAAGGGAAAGGCTTTCTTGTGCCGATGATATGACCTAACACAGTGCAGATACGAGGTCATATTTATAATCTCTTCATACATACTCCTGCTGAATTTATGTATTTGAGGAAAGGCAGGATGGGAAAGTGATCGATACACCAGCAGGATGGTGAGCTTACAAACTGCCTGAATAGTCCCTGTGCTTGCAGGTGGCTTTGGGTCCTGTGGCAATTGCCGAACGCTTTGTGTCAGGGCATGGAGAACAGGATTTGACCCACCCCACCCCCTCTTTTCACACACATCCACATTATACAAGCTGGGAACCCCAGAAACACATCCTAGCATCTCTAGTTAAAGGTATTTAAATTGATACAACTGGGAAAGTTGTCTGGCTGCCATAATGGAGAGCTTCTTCCAGGGGCAGTAACAAAAGCTGGACTTGATGAAACAGTGTTGTAACTCAGGAGGAAGCAGTTCAACCCGTTCTGGCTTTTAGAGGGGAAAGCAAAGGCCAGGGGTCATGGAGCCCCCCCCCACCCCTGGTCCAAAACAGTCCAGTGGCACCTTTAAGACCAAGTTTTATTCAGGTACAAGCTCTCCCTCCTCTGTGAGGGCAGATCTACATGTTCCCCCCCCCCCAATAGCTAGCAATCCAAAACAGTCCAGTGGAGCCTGAGCGGTGGGTTCTGCCTTCTGACACACTTCCGGTGATGCCAGGGGGTGTGGCATATGCAAATGAGTTATGCTAATGAGTTATGCTAATGAGCTCCTGCACCTCTTTTTAGTGTGCCGTTAGTGCGAGCTAGCTCACAGTTTTTTAGCCTCCAGCTCACACACTTTTTTGTCTTCGCTCAGGAAGGATGGGGCTCCAGGGCGAACTAATTGATGCAATCTCTCGCTCACCACTTTAATGCCCGTAGCTCACAAAGTGACATTTTTGCTCACAAGACTCCACAGCTCAGAGGGACCTTTGGTTGTGTTGCATAGACAGTTCTGACACCAGTTTACATGACGAGAAAATGCACACTGGGCAAGAGAATCGGTATTCTGAGAGATCTGCTGAGTGATGCTGGGCTTTCTGCCAGTTCACGGTAGCCCAGGAGGACTATGGAATCATTCTGAACTGATAACCAGAACTCTCTAGAGTAAGTTCATAGGGACTGAAGTCCGGGTTAATCTACAATCCTGTTAATAATCTCAGCAACAGAGCACACGCCTTTTATGCAGCTCAAGACGCTGAACTGCAGGCTGTGGAAGGTCGGTAGTTCAGCAGTTCGAGACCCGAGTGTGCCGCATGACGGAGTGAGCTCCCGTCTCTAGTTCCAGCTCCTGCCAACCTAGCAAGAAATTGCAAGACGATAAATAGGTACCACTTCAGTGGGAAGGGAACAGTGTTCCGTGCGCCTTGGTGTTTAGTCATGCCGGCCACATGACCACGGAAACGTCTTCGGACAGCGCTGGCTCTTCGGCTTTGAAACGGAGATGAGCACCGCCACCCTAGAGTTGGACTCGACTGGCTTTCGAGCAAGGGAACCTTTAACTTTACCTTTTTAGGGGACACCCATTCCCGCCCTGCTTGCGGCTGTTGTGGTGTGGGTATTCTTCACACAGCCCCTTGTGGAAGCAGCCAGAGTGATTCAGATATGCATGTTAAACCGGGGGAGGGGAGAGAGACTTCGGCAAAACACAGGCTTAGATTACATGTAGCATGATCCAGTTCAGCCCTGGCCTGGGTGGCCCAGGCTAAACAGGTCTTGTAGACTTCAGACATTAAGCAGGGTTGTCCCTGGCTAGTATTTGGATGGACATAAGGACATAAGAGAAGCCCATGTTGGATCAGGCCGATGGCCCATCCAGTCCAACACTCTGTGTCACACAGTAGCCAAAAATACCAGGTGCCCTCAGGAGGTCCAGCAGTGGGGTCAGGACACTAGAAGGCCTCCCACTGTTGCCCCCCCCAAGCACCAAGAATACAGAGCATCCCTCTCCCCAGTCCCTATCTATACCTTGTGGCTAATAGCCACTGATGGACCTCTGCTCCACATGTTTATCTAATCCCCACTTGAAGCCGTCCATGCTTGTAGCCGCCACCACCTCCTGTGGCAGTGAATTCCATGTGTTCATCACTCTGAGTGAAGGACTTCCTTTTATTCATTCTAACCCGACTGCTCAGCAGTTTCATGGAGTGCCCACAAGGAGTTCTTGTCTTGTGAGAAAGGGAGAAAAGCACCTCTTTCTCTACCTGCTCTTTCCCATGCATAATCTTATAAACCTCGATCATGTCACCCCTCAGTCGTCGTTTCTCCAAGCTAAAGAGCCCTAAGCGCCTTAACCTTTCCTCATAGGGAAAGGGTTCCAACCCTTTTATCATTCGAGTTGCCCTTTTCTGCACTTTTTCCAAAGCTATAATATCCTTTTTAAGGTGTGGTGACCAGAACTGCACACAGTACTCCAAATGAGGTAGCACCATTGATTTATAAAGGGGCATTATGATATTGGCTGGTCTGTTTTCAATTCCCTTCCTAATAATCCCCAGCATAGCATTGGCCTACTTTATTGCAGTCACACACTGTCTCGACATTTTCAGTGATGGGAGACCTCCAACGAATACCAGAGACAAGGAGGCAGCCAATGGCAAACCACCTCTAAAAATCTCTTGCCTTGACTGCAGTGACTTGACGGTACTTTCTACCACCATGTTCCAGGTCCACACTCTCTCTGCTCAAAGGCCAAAGTCACAAATGCAGGTTCGCCATGACTTCTAATAGTAATCATGCTATGTGTAATAGCATTGATTTCACCTCTGCTAGATGCTGCCAGAATCTTCTAACCACCCAGGCAATATTCTACATTCTCTCATATTCTCAAATAAGATCTGTGGCTCAGAGGTAGAACATCTGCTTGGCATGTAAAAGAATCTTTTTAGCTCCTTAAGGTCCTGCCAGCCCAAAGCCAGCAATGGCGACAAGAGCCATTACCAGACCAGAGCGTACAAGGACCTAGATCAAAGAGACTCCCCGCATCTGAAACTATTCAGCAGAAAAACGTAAACAAAGAAGTTTCAAAAGAAAAGACAAGTGCAAAAAGCGGAGGTGGGAAGCGGCAGCAAGACGGCAAAGCTCCACAGCCAGAAAGAGAAACCTCTCGGAGCGGGAGGGGAAACCGTACCCTGGATAAATCAGCCTGTAAAATACTGAAACAAGAAGATAAGTAGAAACTCTGCTGTTAGAAACCCACCCAATTTAACCTGAGCACAGTGGGCTTCACTATATACCGCATAGAGGAACCTAAGAACTTTTAAAAAACTTTTACCTTAATATAAACAATGTCGCAGCATGGGGGGGGGGGGGGGAAA